GGGATTCTCTCTGTCCCTCTCCCTCTGCCCCTCCCCTGCTCGTGCTCTGTCTCTCAGAACAATGATGGGACCACCTGCCCTCTCACCGCCCCCCCCCCCCCCCCCCCCCCCCCCCCCCCCCCCCAGACCTGGGCCGCGAGAGCAGGGCAGACACACAGCAGACTCGGTCCTCGGCCCATCCAGCCTCCGGGCTTTGTCCGACTCTTCTTCCGGTGTTCTCTTCCTGCCCCTGCCCGCCCACGCGCACAACGAACTTGGAAGGGAGAACGTGTGCCTTCTTTGGCTCCCTTCTCGGAGCTGGCTCAGGGTTTTTTCTTGGCCACCGTAAGAACCGTGATCGAGAGACACCCAAAGATAAAAACACTATTTAAACCCAGCCCATCGCTTCTGGAAAGGAGAAGGCGTGCTTCCCCAGCTAAGACTTTACAGCAGAAAGTCTTCAGAGAGCGGACGACCCAACGGGACTGCAGGCTGTTTTTCTTGCTGAAATGGTAACGGCGAGCGTGTTGACGCTCACCGGGCACCCGCTGAACTCCCGCTGCCCCGAGTGGGTCCCGCTGGCCTCGGCTTCCCTCTGAAGGGGCTCACTTGTCAGGCAGGGCGGGCACGGCTAGAAACTCATGAGCGTCCTCTCGGCGGGGCCGCCCCGTGGTGAACGGGGAGCGAGAGCAGTCCACCTACCACGGGGACCGTCCCGACTCCTGGGGTGGGGGCGCTGCCGCGACCGCGTCCGGGGGCTTTGCGCATGCTGGAGTACGTTCACACCGGGAAACGGTCCTCACGTGCCCGAACTCCTGGCGTACGACCACCACGCCTCCCAGGCACCCCACACCGGGGGGGTGGGCACACGTGGAAGCTGCCTCGCGGACAGCACGCGGCTCTGCCAGCGTCCCCCGAAGATACGAGACGAGAGATGGCAGGCAGCCGCCTCCTCCCCAGAGGACAGGGTGGCGGTGACGGGCCGCGTCGGGGCCAGCCGGAGTGGGGACGCTGCTTCGGAGAGAGAGCAGCCGCCCGTGGCCAGGATGACAAGGACTGGCCAAATTCCCCGGGGGCACCCTTCCTCCTGCTGCCCGGCCAGGCCCACGACTCCCCAGCTCACGTCTCGGAGATGTCCCTTCTCCGAGAAAGCTGCCCTGATGCTCCTTTGGAGACGGCTGGCGTGGTGGTCGCCGCCCCGGCAGGTGCAGAGCTGACTTCCCTGCAGGGAAACCCCCGCCCGGCAAGCTCTGGGACACACCTACACGTGTGTGAGGAACACCAGCTTCGCGGACTAGGCCTGGGGAAGAGCGACACAACGGCTCCAAGCAGGGCGTTTACTCTGTGAACGCGGAGTCTCCACGGTCGGACTGCTTTCCGTTCTTTGCTATTTATGGACCCGCGATGAGTAACGCCCTCCCCGCCCCTGCACCTTCTTCTTTGTAAGGAGTGCGGGTCATCAGAAGCGTCTGAATCTCACAGCTCTGGGTTAACATGTGCCCGGCCTCCGGCCAGCTGTGTGGATTTGGGGAGGTCATGCAGACCCCCTCCCCAGACATCAGCCTTCTGGTAGGATGGGGGTCACGACTTTCTCTGTGGTCAAATACACACAACACACGACATACCTTCATAGACATTTTAGGTGCACAGTTAAGGGGCGTTAGGCACACTCACATTCCTGTGCGACCGTCACATCACCGGCCCCAGAACGGGCCATCTTCCCAAACCCAAACTGTCCCCAGCGAACTCCAACCGCCCTCAGGCTGCCCTGCTGCCCACCCTCCCTGGACCTGACCCCCTCCGACCTCACATGAGGGGGACCCTAGGGGCTCAAGTTCGTCCTTCGTCGATAGGGGTGTTGACTGAAGTCACATCTGAAGCACCTGCCCAGGGTCTAGCAAACAGTAAGTGCTCAATTAGTGTTATTCTCTCTTCCCGCTCCTTTCCTTACGTTAACTTGGACTTAAACGTTCCCTTTGCACGTGTGTGTGTGTGTGTGTGTGTGTGTGTGTGTGTCTTTCTCTCAGAGCAGCCGTGTAGGCCCCGTTACACGTAGGGGGACGTCCTCCCGGGTGAGGATACGCGTTCCCACCTCAGGGGCCGGACCTATGGACGACGGGCCTTCATCGCCTTCTCCTTCCCTGCCCTCCTGACCCCACGTCCCTCCCGGCACGGATCACAGACACCAGAGCAGCTGGGTGCCTGCGGGCCGTCAAAGGCTGTGCCCCCTCCAGGTGTTGGCTCCTTCCTAGACGTTAATGTAGACGCACCAGAAGCCGCCACGTTTCTGGACGTGCTGGAACTGGCTCTCGTCCCCCGATGACGACCTGCCCTTGCCCTCACTGCCCTTCCCGCCCACCCTCCTCCTCTGCCCCACCCGCCCGGCGACCTCTCTCTGGATTCCCTCGGTGGCCGCGGGTCTGTCACAGCAGCTCGGTACCAGGTGCTCGATTAATGCTCTTTTCTTAGCCGCTGTCATGGGTGGAACAGTGTCCCCCAAAGGTCATGCACGCCTGCAGCCTGTGTGAACGTGACCTTCTCTGGAAACCGGGCCTCTGCAGAGGAGGCCACACTGGTCAGAATGGACCCTGAGTCTAACGACCGTGACCTTCTAGGAGGGAAGTTTGCTCACAGAACAGACACCCCGTGGGCAGTCACCGTGCGGATGCAGGCAGAGGCAGGAGCAGTGCGTCCACCGGCCGCCCACACCGAGCGGTATGCCCGCGAGCCTCCACGGCGGGAGCGGTGCGTCCACGAGCAGTGCCGCGACCGGAAGCCAGCCGCGGAGGCGCAAGCCCAGATTCGGACCTCTGGCCTCGGGAGCTTCGTGCCACCTTGTTACAGCAGCCAGAGCAGCCACGGAAAAGTTGTGCCGACACCCTGCCCTCTGCTGCTTCCTCAAGGCCACGGCGTCGCGGTCAAGGGCATTCAGATGGGACAGAGCGAAACCGGCTTCTTCAGGACAGGATCCGTCAGCGGCTTCGACGTGCGGTTGTGGCCAACAGTCCCCGGAGGGGCGAGCCCGTCGGCCACAAAGCCTGCCTGTCCTGGGAGACCTGGTGCCACTTTGAGGGACGCTGGGGTTCCCTCGGACAGAGCGATCGTGGCGGCTGCCGTGTGTCTCGGGTGGTCTCATGCTTAGTTTCCTGGCGTTACTTCACTTAGAGAAGTTTTCTTCCATCTCGCGAACGTATCTCTTGGGTGTCGGGCCCCCACACGCTCTCGAGAACTTAGGGGCTGCAGATACTCACGGAACGAGTCACCCCGACGACCACAGCCTTCTGTGGGAAGCACCACTCCCACGCCACGTGGCCGCGGGCGAAGTACGAGCCTCTGAGTCCTGCGGACCACAAAGATTATGTGCCCAAGCACGCGGCTGGTAGCACCCGGCCTGGTCCGTTGGGAGGTGGCCGGTGGCCTTGAGCAATGACTCCCGCCGTGAAGTGCCACGAGCACTCGGGGGCGATTCTGTTCACAAGAGCTGTGTCGCACGTGCGAGGTAACGGCTGGGAGAAAGGCAACAGCCTGTGTCTGGGGAAAGACGCACGTTTCGGAGAACGGTTAGGGCAACGTGGAGCTTCTGCAGAGACACGGGAATTCCGTCGGCAGCCTCGGAACCTTCCAGGTCCTTTTCTCCGGAGCGGAAGAAGCCGGGGACCCCACGCAGCGGAACAGCACCGGGCGGGTTCTCCTTGGAGCGTCAGCCACGCCGGAAGAGCAGAGCCGGGACCCACGGGCTCACGCGGCCCCCGTGGCCCCGGTGCCAAGTTCCTGCCTGAGCGCTTGTGCCGGGACCGGGCGGCCCGCGGGCACCGAGCTCCCCGTGCAGGGAGGCACCCCGCTCAGGCTGCGTGACCGCTGTCGGGGCGACATGGAGAAATCCAGCATCTCGTGGGTGGTGGGACCGGTTCCTCGGCCCCCTCCCAACGCTGCAGTTCGAGGGCTCTGTGCCGTGGTTACAAGTTTGGGCGCCACGACTCTGAGGTCCGGTGTGTTTTATTTTTTCCAGTAGCGTGAAGGTCGCTAGGGAGGGGCCGTGCAGACGTGCTCCAATCTGGGTTTCCGCTTGCTGGGGCGGGGAGGCCGTGGTACCCGTGCAGCGACACGCTCACAGGGCAGGGGGCGCCAGCCGGCCCCCTGCGGGCCCTGGACCCGTCCCGACTTTGCAGAAAGCCGCTGCCGAGACGGGTCCCTCCTTCGGGTGGAGAGGCCGGAGAGGGCTGACGGGCAAGTCGGGGCAGGAGCCTCCGAGGAGCAGAGGACACGTGCGGCATGGGTCAGCTGAGTGACCCTTAGCCCGGTGACGCGTTTGCCCTCAGGAGCTGCTGTCACCACCGGGATCCGAAACAGCCCAGTCTGCGCGCGTCGCCATGCTGCTGTGGGGGGGACGGGCTTGCTGCCCTGGGCCTACGAGCCGCTGTGTCCACGTACGTGTCACAGCGCTGGTGGAACCGCCCTCCCGACCGCGTCCTCCGCCGGACGGGAGCCCTGCGGCCCGGCCGGTGCCCGGGGAGGACGCCTGCTCTCGGGTCCTGCTCTCGCTGGCTCCGGCTCTCAGCGGTTCTCAGCGCCTGGGCCTGGCTGGGTGTCAGGATCGTGCGGAAGGACACAGACCAGCCTGGCCTTTCGAATGCATTAGAGGGAGAGAAACTATGATTCGAACACCATTTTCTACCCTCATCAGAGGAGAACAATAGAAGAAGACACATTGAACACTTTGTAACAATTTAAATGCTTACTAATTCCATTTCTTCATGTTTCATAAGATACAACTGTACGGGGGTTAAAGTAAGAGTCTTTAAAGCATTCAGTCCCTCAAAGGGAATTTTGTATCCTCAAGTTTTGAAAAAAGAAGACTAATAATAAAACATTAAAAGACTCATTTAAATTCTGAAAGCAGGTAACACTTGATGAATGCCTCTAAACACGTTTAAATGTGCTTCGTGGGATCCAGGGCATTGCGCACCATCGACATGTAAGATCTGGTTTTCAGAAGGAAGTTTTAATTAAACGAGACTCACCTGCCAGAAGTCGGCCACGGTGGCGGGCAGGGGTCCCTGGGTGGCGATGTAGGCAGGGTTCCTGGGGTCATGGTCCATCTGCAGAGATAGGATTACAGTAACAAAGGTTAGCTACCAAGCTAGCAAAAAACCCAGGAAGTAAGGCACCGGCTACGGAGGAGGCGAAGGCGGCCCGTCCCGCGCCCAGTGCCGCATCGACACACGGCGTGTGCGGAGGCGAGAGAAGCAGGCTGGTCTTCCTTGGGTCCCCCGGGACGCCCCAGCGCTTGGAGTTTAGGGGGAGCCCTTGCGGCCCGTGCTCGGAGCCTGGGGATGGCGTGGGGATGCCTTGCGTACGCCTGATACGCAGGTAACGGGAGAGCGGCACGAGCCCGAACGAGGACGGCGGATCAGAGAGGCCAGAGGCCAGCGGTCGGCGCACAGCGTGGGGTGTCACCACCGCAGCGTCTCCACGGATGCCACCGTGGCAGAGCAGCTCAGCCACGTGTCGCCCGAGCGGCCT